AATACCCTTGTAACGCACCCTTTTAATTGGTTGTTGGACACGTAATAAAAGGCGGTAATTCCTAACAAAAAATTGGAACAAGGTTTAATTTCTCTACCGGTGGGTTAAGCAATAAAATAATATGTTTCTTTGAACTCATAGGTTAATAGGAACTTTTAGAGGGGGAGGGAGTGGGTTAGTCCAACTAACTTGAGGCCCTTAAGTAATCCATCAGACTTAAAGCTGTATATCTAGCAATGAAACGGCGCCTATGTTCCACAATGCCCAGAGAAAATTATAAGCCCTAACTTACGCACCCATTCGCAGATATCGGAAGAAAGTGGGTTAATGCATTCTTACGAAAGGTAAAACTTATGCATATCAAATGCCAGGCTTTTTTATAGTTATCATAGCCCTTTAGTTGACAACAGGCTTCATAGAAGGGAAGGAACAAGAAAATGAAAAGATTCGAGATAGGGAGGAGGGGAAAGAAGAGTGATTAAAAGGTGTGAAAGAGACAGGCACAAAGGTAGAAAAAAGGTGAGGCGACTAGGTTGGAAGTAATTGAATATGACACACAGTAGGGTGATGGTAGTTTGAAGTGAGAAGTAAACTGCCGGTCAATAGTCTACCACACACCCCATTCTTCATAAGTTGTGACCTTTAAATGCGTCTTTATAGACACATTTAAAATTACTAATTTATTGCAGACTTTAATTACACTTTAATCACTCCAATTTTCAAGCACTCTCCCGTCAGGTCAATATTATGACCCATTTAAACTATTGTTGCTTATTTGCATTCCGTGTGTTGCCAATTTTTTCCCACAATATAGTTAAGAGTTTTGCAAAGCAAATACTATAAAGTCGTTTAGAGTTGGTAAATGTTAAGATTTTGTATAAAAACCATAATTATAATCTATGTAAACATTCCTTGTTGGAATTACTTTCTGGATATTTCACGTGTTAGATCGAATTTTAAATTATGCTTTGGGCTTTTTTGTGTACTTTTGGACTTTGCCAAACATTAATCGATAAATTTCGCCAACACTGGTCAAAGAAACCCTAAATCAAATCCCCGAAGCCAACTTCTACTACTGGTTTGGGATGATGTAATAGTAAAACTGAAAAATAGAACAGAAATCCATTTCAATTACACCACTTACACTTGTACAAAGTTTTAAAAAGACTAAAAAAGGCTGGGCATATTTTCGAGGTACTTTCTGCTCAGCATACTGAGAAGAAATGGGGCCAGAAGACGGTATAACGTGATTTCTGGAGAAGCTGTGAGCCTTGTGAGCGTATCTGCGAAAATCAGTAAATAGACATTTTTATGCCAGAGGTGAGTGCTTTTTTGTGCATTCTCAAACCGCCTCGTAGTCACTTTAAGCGATTGTAGACAATTGTATTCGAACTGGATCGTTTGCAAGAAAGGTTTACATTTATTAGGATAAAAATACCTATAGTATGTTGGCAGAGTCCATAGAACAAAATATTCCCATCGAACTACACCAAATACTACAAAAATAAGTCTTGATTAAACCTGTCCTTAAATTAGCTAACCAATTCGATAGTACTGAGGATACATAAAGTATGAATCAATAGCAACTTATTGCAGTTTATGTACCACTAACACAAAGATTAGTCATTAAAGTACAACCAGTGTAAGACTAAGTCATATCGACTTTTGTTCGTAAGTTGACTGAGACTTCTCTGCACGCACAACCGCACCTTCTCCCCACGCGATCGGTTACCCTATAGCGACTTCAAAGTTGTTTGAATGCGCATAGAATCCCTTTGACCAAATTTGGTAGTGATTTGCACTGCACAATGGACAATTCAGATACGAAATTTAAAACTTTATGTACAGGAACTCTGCAAATAAAAAAGATTTATGAAAGGCAAATTTTTTTGCTGAATTCCCTCTTTTGTAATGCGTTTGAAAATAACTTTCGAGTCAGATGTTGCTCAACTGTACTTATTATTACAATTGCATGGGTAAATATTGATAATATGGGTTAAAATTAAAACATAATCTCAAGTAAAATATCCTTTTTTCAACAAGCTGGGGAGAATTTTAAATGGCTCAGCGATAAAACATTGGTCTCAATGGATCTTCTACCTGGCATAGAAAATTCTACTCAAGATGGTGATGTGATTTTAGCGTACTACACAGCCGAGCATGTGAATAGTCAATGGACAACAGTTTTAGCGTTTGAGAAATCAAATGGAGATGAAGAATGTTCAGTACTATGCGAACACAGCAGTAAGTTCTCAAGGTATTTACAGTTATATTCTATTAGATCATAGTGAGATCGTCTGTGTTACTTATGCTACCAATGTTCACAGAACATTCTAAGTCTTAAGCTGGTGAGTTATTGATTTGTTGCTGTACTAATGATACCAGCCTGTACCAATTCTATTTAATGCAGACCTGATTCGTTACCCGTATCAGCAAATATTTGAAGAAATTGAGTTTAAATACGGGTACCTGCTATTTCTGCAGTGATCAAATCAATTTTGCTTGATATTAGGAATGTCATGTCTATTCATTTACTATTTGAGAAGCTGTTTTCGCGTTGCGATACTTTCTGGCACTGTCATTGAGTTAGCTTGTTAGTCAGAGACTATTGACAACACAAGCATCAATTGAAGGATGAAAAATTAATTTCAAATTCAGCATCAAGATAATCTTGAAAAATAAGTTTACTCAGACCAGCAGATGACTAAAATTGTAGGACATTTTATGAGTCCTGGGTGCTGAAGTGTTTGATTCAGAATATGGCATGAAGGCGGTTATTTTGAGTTGTGATGTCATTGACGGGGTGTTTAGGCATAAAATACGGATTCGGGTACTCTGATCATGCCTCAACAATTGATTCTTGATTGGTTGAGAGGTCCTTGCACTCTCGCTGCTTTTATATCAAAATGCGATCAACAACATGAGACACATTCCAGAATGTTCTACTGAACATGAGATTCTCCACACACTATCAACGAAATTTTGTTCATCTGCCGGTAGTTCCATGGTAGAAAAAAGGCCAATTGGTTAGCAATCATGATTATTAAAAGTATGAAATATTACTTTTTACATAAACTTAATCGATTTTAGTTGAACCCTGCCCGATGCCAAGTGGATTTGACCCAATGAAAACGGAATTTCATCCAACCAAAGCGTATGTTGGCACAACAACAACAGTCGGTTGCAAACGTGGTTTTTATCCAAATTTTTTTAACTTCACACGTGGAGCTAAATTTGTTTGTGTTGGTGAGCGAGAACACCCGGATGAGGCTAATCCTTTCAACTACAAAGCCTATTTTGGGCTGTTACCCGATTTGCCTCCATTAGAATGCGAGAGTAAGTTTCATGTCTGTCTTCATGCTCGAAGTACTCTTATGATTTGATTTGACAAAATATTGTTGGAGGGACTCTGTACCATCTCTCATCTACGCCATTTTTTTAGAGGTGTCCTGTAATTTTTCGGCCATGACTTGGTGCAATGTCCAGGAGGATTCAATTAAGCCCCCTAACCAGAGTAGATTCGAGTATGGGGAGAAAGTAACCGCGGAATGTGAAAAGGGTTTTGTCTATGCATTTAATAAAACATCAACGACAGCGACTATGCATTGTGTCACACTTCATGAGGCAGCTATACACGGAGTATGGAATCCTGGACCTTGTCAAACTTGCATTCGTAAGTGGCCCTCATTTTTTTAATTTCAAAATAAAAAATTAATTATGCAATTCATGAGGGTCATATTACTCAATCTGTTTCCAGTTTCATCAGATTGCCCATTTAATTTTTAATTCGTCTGCTTGCTATTTCATGTTTTAGGATTAGAACCTAACTTTAGGGCCAATCAGGGCTCCTTATGAATGGCCAGGCCAGAGTTTTGAATTTAACCCCCCCCCCCCCACACCCACCTGCACTAACTGGTGGTAGCAGAATAACATTAATTTATTAATGAATTTAGCTAAACAACAAAGAGCTTAGAAAAATCACTTGGATTCCTCGAATTATAAAAGAGCTCTTTCCATAATTTGTTAGGTGGAACTACCAAGGTGAGAAGCGAAAGAGGATATTGCTTTCTATTGGTTTTGCTGCAACTAAAGAGTTAGGGGTAGATCGGATATCTTACTTGACCGAATGAAAGAACGAGCTTCAGCACGGGGAATTGCTCAATGAAAGGTCATGAATAAAAACAACAGTGGCAATTGGCTTATTCGAAACATATATTCACCTTTAAATCCCTTGTTGAATTAGAGGACTGTGAAGATATATCAAAATAGCCGTTACCTCCCATTTTTGTATTCTAAAGACTAATATCTAGAACTTTCAGACAATATATACACTCCATTTTCATTTCCATTAAATTGTCTTATCTT